GGGCATAGTCTGAGTCCAGTGTGCGACCCAGGTTCAGTGCAGACTCAATCAAGCCCTTGATGCTCAGCTTGGCCATGTTCATCAGGTTAAGCCTCTCGATGGCAATGGGATCCTTGGGATCTGGAAATCAAAAAAAATCAAGCATGAATTAAAACATCATTCTCTAACTCTGAATTTTTCTACACAGTATTTAACAGGTTTGAGCATGAGATATAAGCAATATATGAGGGTTTTCTCAGAGATTTTCTCAGAGAAAGACTTCATGAGGACTTCCCATTGACTGTGGCTACGTGGTTACATCTATGTCTGGCTAAGACTTATGAAATTGTAGTTGATGCAATGTGAAATGCATCAAATGCACACAGATTTCATCCCACCTCAATCATGCTCCTCAGGAGAAATTTTCAGATAAAAATTAACAGATGATTGTTTTGAAAGCTGTTGTTTTCAGGATAATCTCAATTCAACCTTATAATGAATCACAAGAGTAAATCGATCACTACAGTAAATCTGTTTTTACTGAACTGAATTTCTAGTTTGAGTTCTCAAGCCTCACCCTGTCTAAACCAAAACACACCCACAGTAATGCAATCATTTCATCATTAAGACTCTCAATCCATGTCTGTTCACGAATAGCAGTGACCTTTTTCATGAGGACAGTGCTGGGCAATAGAAAGGCTGGTATAGGTTTTTTTCCCTTTAAAATCAATTGGGTTGATTTTACAAATGGGCCATGATGGACTAATTTAGCATTTAGTCAAACTTCCCATCTCATTGCACTTACATTGCACCAAAATCTCATTACTTTTCAGGTGTTGAGACAGGAGAAATGATCCAGGAGGCAGTGGGTCATTTTTCCACAGTACACTGGCTTTTAAAATGAAAAATGATGGCATGGAAGATACTTTCAGTTCAAGTCTAGTCATTTCAGCCCAAGTTTATTTTAAATGGTCATTACTTATAAAATAATATTGAATTGTTAATGCAACAACAAGAATGAAGTTGTTCAAAGACCTTGAAATGAATTGTAAAACCAACAGATTTTACTGTTAAAAATCCGTTTTCACCAGGTATTAAAGACCTTGTAGCTTTGCAGAGTCACACATCAAAGAATGAGACAAGCTATAGCTTCATGTCTATGCAAAGGTTATACAAATTACAGAAACAAAACTATTTCACTGTAAGGACAGATTATTTTAGTGTGTTTTTTAGTGCATAAGAAGTCTCTGAATCATTAATGTTTAATGTCTCTACAGGGAATAAATCTGAAGAACCAGAAATTGATCAATGATAGTATGAAATGCAAGTAAAACCATGCGATCAACATGCCAAATCAGCCAGAGAATGGGGTGGGGCAGGGAAACAGCCAAAAAAAACAGGCCAGACAAGAGCAATCCAGCCAAATGGGTAGCCAAATATTTAGCTAGCTACAAAGAGAGCTAGCGAAAAAAGTAACAGAGACAAAGCTATTGATAGAAACATCAAATCAATAGGAAGGGAGATAATAGACAATGAAAAAGAGACAAATAAAGAGAACAAAAGAACATGAGCACAAGAGGTAGAGCTTTAGAAGCTGTGGTGCGAATGTGTCGTTCAGGGAGGCTGGTTTGGTAAAGACAGGGCTGCACGGCCATGCAGCTGTGGTTTTAGGATGGTGCCCGAGGCAGGGATGAGGTGGGACTGGGGGGAGTGATGCCACCATACGCACCTTTAAACTCATCAAGCATTTGCATTTGCTCCACCAAATCTGTGAAATCCTCCCATGAGTCTTTGCAAAAGGCAATGGAAAACAGAAAAAAAGCAGAAAAGGATTGGGTCATGCACATCATGGGAGTAAACCAAAGCAACAACAAGAGGGAATACACATTATGTTGTAGGAAATTTGAGCGTGTAGACTTTTATCTACAGAGCAAAGCTCACTCGCTCTCACTGTCATACATTTGCGCAAATCTTACTCTAGTGGATGACTTTAGAAGCACTACAACAGAGACTATTAATAGCAAACTGAGTGCTGATGGTCATTAAGAGCCACTATTATAACATGTCAGCAAATCTGGATCAGAAGACAGTTACTAACCATGAAGTAATTTGACTACACTAGAAGGAGCTCAAACAATGCTCTACTTGTCCTGCAAGACTCTAGTGGCAACTTATCTAAACCGATTTGTTTGACAGAAGGCCTCAGGAAAGAATGTAATATTTCCTTTTTATCCACAGCACTGGAATAATCTTTTTTTGTTAGATTAATTCCACGACAGCAACAAACAAAAAATTATCTTTTACCACACGTAGTTCCAAACTTCCATGTATGACTTTCTCTCTTCTGTAAAACATGAAAGAAAGTTTTTCGTCCAAAACATATATTTTTTATGTTCCACAGGGCTGTCAAAAAAAATTCGAATTTCGAATATTCATTTCAAAAACGCTGCATTCGAATTTTAGGTGTGCATTAAGGAGGCAGTCTTATCAGTGGCTGATGACGATGTAAGTGTTGCATTATAATGTTTTTGTTAGCCTATCCAGTTGAGGCCACTAGATGCGGCGCTGCTGCGTTGCTCATTAAAAATATTGCAGAAAAAGAGAACATTAATGCGGAGAAGATCTTGTTTACAACAAAACTGAAACCAAGCCGTTCACACAGAACGCATATTTCGCGCATTTTTTCTAGAGGGACATCTATCACCATTGCACTCGCATCTCGCACAAAATAGCTGCATGTTTAGAAAGCCATGTAAAATTAATGCAAGTTTAACTTTGAAAAAAAAAAAAACATATATCGAGACTTTATGGCGGGGGGGTTTCCCCATCCCACTGCATCTCATGTTTTTAAATGAAAAATATACTCTGTGAGATTGGCTTTCCACCCTTTGTACTAAACTATGCATACATACATGATGCTGTTTTGTTTATAGTTGTTTAAGCAACTTAATTAATAATAATTGGTTTATAAACATTATTTTAAACATTATGCACTTTTTTTTCCACAGATAGTCATGTTTTCTTATGCTTTGAATAAACGTGCATTAGTAATATTTTGCTCGATGCGCCCTCTTGTGGCCTCAGGAGAGAAGTCAAAAGCTTTTCTTCACCCTAACGGAAATTATGTATTTTATATTAGAATATAATTAGAATTTTGATAATATTTCAGTACAAAATTCGAATTTAGTTTTTCAGCCATTTTGACAGCCCTATTCCACAGAAGAAAGTCACACAGGTTTGAAACGACATGAGGGCGAGTAAATCATGCTAGATTTTTTTTTATTCACAGAGTTTCTATGTCGTTTGGCTGAGAGGGAAAAGAAGAAACAAAAATGAAATAAAACCATAAGTGACACTTAATGAGGCAGAGCACACCAAACACTACAAAGAACATCTGCATGCAGTGAAACAGATCAAGGGCACAATGTCAACTAACCAGTACTGATTGATATGCAGTGGCTTAATTGAAGAGAATATTTGTTGTAAAACATCTATGAAAAAAATACCAGAGAGGAAATAGTACTGTCTTAACTTCTGTTGGCTCTGAACCCTGGGGGCCGATGTGACACTAAAAATATCAGATGTTTATCACACAGTCCAAAGGTGATGCAATTCGTGAAAATGCTTGACCAACAAACAACTACTTCTGTAGTATATAATCATCTCAGAGGATGACTCTGTAAACACACCTTATCAGATAATGTTTTCTATTCCTTGTCTTTCTACATGCCTGTTTCCTGCTCGCCCAATGAAGATAAAATACATTAGATTAAACTGTTGCTGTTAGTGGCCCTGGTTGCATCTTCTCTACTGCCAGTTGATCACATGCCTTCAAGTCATTTGATTGAGTGGGAATCCCAGGCCTGTCTCCAGGGCAACAGTACTGTGTCCATATGATGTTAACCTTTTAACCTTTGGCACGATAAGCCGTGACTCTCCAGTAATGCACTGGATTAGCAAAACAATTGTGAGGTCTGACACCATCACTATTCTAGAAAACAATTTATTGCCTTATTTTTCTCTTCAGAAAAGTTAAATGAAAACCAAATGATAAGCAAATTTGCAAAATGACTTTTATTTTTATTAAACTCAACAGAGAAAAAGAACATTTCAAACAATATTAAGTCATTTGTTAAAGGTCCATTCACACCAAGCATGATAACTATAAAGGTTTAATAATCGTTCTAGTTATGAGAATAGGGAAGTCCACACCACAGCTATAATGAAACAGAGTAGCAATATCGTTGGGATCACTTTCAGAATGATTGTTTTCCAGATGATGAAGAATAAAAACACTGTCAGCCAATCAGAATTCATCCTGCTTTAAGAGCTCGAACATAACTGCAGCATGCACTAATAACAAGAACCAAATATTATATTCTGTTGGTGTGTATGCTAATGTAGTTATCTTTACAGTCATTGCTTTTTAGTGTCAGCTTTTTTGGTGTTAAGTGTTGTTTAAAAAATTATGACCAACAATCCAAATTGTCTTACAGTCAATGACACTACAAGTCTAACAGTCTGTCAAAAACTTTTTTTTGTTTGTTTATTGGAGGGATTTTCCGAACAGTGCAGTGCACATACTCAATTTGTTCAATGTGACAATAATTTAATTAGAATAAAACAGGATATGAATAGCTTGTCTCAAACCACTCGGTGAGAAACAAACACTTGTTCTCCATAAAAACTACATTTCCAAGCAGGCCTGCGGGAATGCTGAGAGCATGATGGTGGAAGGTTGGGCGAGCACCGCCCAGTACGATAGGAGCCACAGAGGCCTAGTGATGCTGTGCACCTACCTTCATGAGCCGGCTCGGGATCTGGCGTTAGCGAGATGTCGTTGAGCTCGCGCAGGCACAGCCATTCGCCATCCACCGACACGCGGAAGTTGCATAGGTAGATGGTCTCTCTGGCAGCCTGTGTGATCTTGTCAGTAGTGGGGGTGGGGGCTTCGCTCTGGGGAGTCAGATCAGACATGGTGACTCAGCTGATAGCTGCTGCGACGACAACACTTACGATGAAGGCCCTCAGTGAAGAGTCAGGAGCAGGGAATAGGAATAACGATCCAGTCCAAGCAAGAGTCTTCTCCAGCACAAAGGAGAAAGAAAAAACAGTCAAGGAAAACAAAGAAAGAAGGAAGGGAAAAAATAAACAAGCAGTCCACGGCAAACCCGGCCGAAAGGATGCTATTCTTCCGGGACTCAATGGCCTCGCCTTGTGAATGAGCAGCGACAGCTAAAATCCTCCGTGTGAATAAAGGCTTCAGTGCTCTCTGGCTCAGCACAGCCAGGGGATTGAGATGCTGTGTGAGCCTCAGCGGAGCTACAATCAGAGATGTCTCTTTCTCTCTCTCAGTCCCTCCCTCACAGCACAGACGCTTGCTTTCACCGGATTGGCTGCATGCACTGCAAATGGGAGGGTGTTGGCCAAGATGGCTGCCGTGATGCTGAGGAGGATTGTGGGAATCATGTGAGCAGAAGGTGGAGAGGGGCACAGCTCCCAAGAGGCCTGTCAGATGCAGGGGGGAGCTGTTGTCAAAGATCCACATGCCGCACAAGAGAAGGATGGAAGAAGTACTACTGATTGAGAACCAGAACATTGCTGATAAAGCTGCTTTTTACTGAAAGACTTCTTGAAGAGGAGCAAACTGGCCACTCATATTAAACCGTGTATGAAACAAACACGATTAAATTTTTTTTTTCACATTTCAACCTTTGAAAGTTCCTTTGAAAAGAGAAGAACCTCATATGCAAAGTCATGTAAAACGGGGTTTGAATATTAGCAGTAATCTAATATTCCAATCTTATTGGAATGGACCTTGTTGTTTTCTCTTATTATAAGAGAAAAGCATGAAAACTATCAATTAATAACACATTTTTTTAAAACAGCATTAGGTACGGACAAATGTTTGGGTCAGTATGATTTAAGAAATAATTAAGCAAGGACACATTGAATTGAAAGTGGTATTTGTAAAGTTACAAAAGAATTATATTTCAAATAAATGCTGTTCTTCTTTTCTTTAAATAATCCTGAAAAAATGCACAAAAATATTAAGCAGCACAATGTTTTCACAATTAATAATAAGAAGAAATGTTTCTTGAGCATCAAATTAGGGGTCGACCGATATGTGTTTTTCAGGGCCGATGCCGATACCGATTATTACAGATCAAGTAGACCGATAACCGATATTTTGAACCGATACACATGTCTGGTGTAAAAATGAAAATTAATGTCAAAATTAAGAATAACAAGGGCTCTTTTGTCACAAGGACAAAAACTGCCTTTACTGGTGTTGGTTGAGTGTAGTACTCCCACACTGCACTTCTTACTCTTGTCTTCCTCTGTGCATCCATCTACAATAAGGGTAATATAAAGAGAGAGTTAAAAGTGGGGCCACTGTATGCTTCACGATTAAGACTACGAATACTGTACTACAGCTAAACAGCTTGGGGAAATGTAAGTATTTGGCTTCAATAATTTACATGTTAGAAATTTATGTGTAATAGCATAACCTCTCATAATTCCTCATTAATTCTTTTCTGATGGCTAAAACATAACCTACAATAGTAGAGGTGACTATTCAATTCATCATCTAATGCACATCAATGGATTAGCTTTTAAAAAATGTATATAATAAGTGTAAATAATTTAATTGTCTTCATAGCTATATTGTAGAAGTTGTTAAGAAGACTGCAACTATTTTCATGAAACTATAACACTAATAGCCTTTTACAGGCACACTTAGTTCAATAGCCTTTTGAAATGTCTTGGCCTATGTGACAATAGACATTTCAGTTAGTTTTAATTTACAGTACAGTGCAAATGAAGGGATAAATACATTTAATTTATATTTTAATCAAATGAGAGTTAAACTCTTTATTTTTTGGCAAACAAAGGGTTTACCATAAAAATTAAAACATGGAAGAAATAGCGTATTGTGTGATTATTATTTTAAACAAAAGTTGTAATAATTGTTGTAGTAGTATTATGTATATCATACTGCACCACAGTAATATATTTCTTATAATTTCTTTAAGCTAACCTGAACTTATATTTTGACGGGTTGTCATGAGGAAGTTTTAAGTTTCTGTAGCCTATGTAAGCGTTTCCCATACATTAATTTATTTGTGGCGCCGCCACAATATCACAACTGACCGCCACAAATAGATTTTCCAAAAGGCTTTGACTTCATTGAATAAACATCAGTGGCGGCTCGTGGGTTTTAAAATAGAGGAGGCACACTATTTGTATTGGTCTGGGGATCCCTGCCGATTATTATTATTATTATTATTACCACTTTAAAATGGCTTTTTGGTCTGTAACGTTAGCCTGTATCCAGCTTAGGCGTGTTCTCCCCAAGTGGCAACCTCCCGGTCTCTCGCTTGAAGCCAACACGGAAGTGACTAAAACTGCAATTCATCGACTGACCGCTAGAGACTATAGCATTCGTCTCCTCACACTGGCATCTGCATTATAAAAAGAAAAAAAAACTTTAAAGATTACTTACGATTAATTATTGTTGCAAAGTTATCTAGTCGTTGCTTGTTTACAGTGCTTTGTTATATGGAGCAGTTTGTTAGATCGCGATCTAATTAAATTGCTTTTCTAAAGAAGTGCCGACAGATGTATGAAAGTACACAAGTCACACCGTAATTTAAAAGCGCAGACTTTAATGTACAGTAAAAACAGAGGCAGAATACCGTATAACTCCAGGCTGGCACAGTAATATTGACGAACGGCTAAACAGATGCAGAGCACCGTAACTTAATTTGAGCGATCTAAAACAAAGTCAAAGAGCGGTAACTGATGATACTGTGTTCTGCCTTAGTTTCTCCGGGGCTTTTCTCCAAGATACTTATACTGGTATTATAACTGGTGGAGGATTGTCGGAGGAACGGATGGAGGACCAGGTGTATGCCAGTAGAGGTGGGCAGCAGGGGGTTTGCCAGTCACTCCCTGAGTAAGGCCTATGGTACGTTGGGCATAACAGGTGTTAACCGAAGAAGAGCCATAGGTAACAACGTGGAGGCAGCAGAAAAAGCTTCCAGATGGCTCTGGTTGAAGAGGGGAGAGCAGTGGGGGCAGTAGAATGCCACTTGGACACAGGCCGGGGTCTGATCAGCCTCGGTCGGGTCGCCAGGACGAGGGTGTCTGTTGTAAGACCCGAAACACCCAGTGACTCCTGGAAACAACACTGATGATGTGTCCAAGGTCGTGCATCAGAAGATGTTTTCTGTGAACTGAAATACTCTGGGAGCACCAGTGACAACCAGGAATAGACTGGGTGACAACCACGAAGAGGGTGGTGACATCTGGAGAGACAGATGACGGCCGGAGAGACGGCAGCCCAGGGGTGGAGAGGGTTGGCAGCCCAAACCACTTTTTCCGTAAGGAAGAACCCAAAGCAAGCTACAAAACCCACAAAAGAAAGATACCCCCAGGGGTGCCCGAGAGGGGGGGAGGATGAGCACCCCAATAGGACGGACTCGAGGACAATGACACAGGATAAAGGAATAATGACAACGACAATACAGTGCATCTGCGACAGGACCTGCAAGAATGAAAGGGGTTTAAAAATCCATCAAGGCAGAATAAGATGCTTGACAGCGGAATCGACGACACAACGCACAGAAGCGACTTCTGGTAAGACGCAAGAGGAGCCCGGCCTAGCGGACCTGACAGCAATCCTAAGGAAACAACTCTTGACCTTACGGAGGGCAGAGTTTCACAGAAGGAGGCGGAAGGAGAGAGCCAGGAAGAGGGCAGCATTCTTGGCTAATCCATTCAAGTTGACCAAGCAGCTCCTTGGCCAAAAGAGGGCTGGCCGCCTCACCTGCTCCAAGGATGCTATAAATGGCCACCTCAAGGCCACTTATAGTGACCCCATTAGAGAACAACCGCTGGGTCCATGTGATGCGCTGATAACACCACCAGAGCCTTCATCAGACTTCGACCTGAAGGAGCCCCGCCTAAAGGAAGTGGAGGAAGTGGTGAGGAGAGCAAGACCGAGCTCAGCACCAGGCCCAAGTGGAGTGCCCTACAAGGTGTATAAGAACTGCCCAAAGCTACTACATCGGCTTTGGAGGGTCCTAAAGGTGATCTGGAGGAGAGGGAAGATCTCCCAGCCATGGAGGTATGCTGAGGGAGTGTGTATACCAAAAGAGGAGAAGTCTGAGAATATCGACCAGTTTCGGGTTATCTCCTTGCTCAGTGTGGAGAGCAAAATCTTATTTAGCATCGTGGCTAAGAGGCTCTCCAACTTCCTGTTGAGCAATAAGTACATCAACACGTCTGTGCAAAAGGGAGGTATACCAGGAGTTCCAGGTTGTCTGGAACACACGTTCGTGGTAACCCAGCTCATTAGGGATGCAAGAGAAGGTAGAGGGGACCTGGCAGTACTGTGGCTGGACCTCACCAACGCCTATGGCTCAATACCCCACATGCTGGTGAAGGTCGCACTGGAGAAACACCATGTACCGCAGAAGGTGAAAGATCTCATCCTGGACTATTACAGCAAGTTCAGCTTGAGAGTTACTACTGGCCAGCTAACATCTGACTGGCACCAGCTGGAGGTGGGGATAATCACTGGCTGCACCATCTCAGTGACCCTATTTGCGCTGGCGATGAATATGCTGGTCAAGGCAGCTGAAACAGAATGCAGAGGTCCCCTCAGTAAGTCCGGAGTAAGACAACCGCCCATAAGAGCCTTCATGGACGACCTCACAGTGTCAGCAACGGCGGTACCAGGAGCCAGGTGGATTCTTCAGGGGCTGGAGAGACTCATGACATGGGCACGCATGAGCTTCAAACCTGCAAAGTCCAGGTCCTTGGTTCTAAAGAAGGGGAAGGTTACAGACAGATTCCGCTTCAGGCTGGGAGAATACCAGATCCCGTCAGTCACTGAGAGTCCGGTGAAGAGCCTTGGGAAGGTCTTCAACTGTAGACTGAGTGACAGAGACTCCATCAAGGGGGAAGCTGTGCCTCCACTGACGAGCCGCCACTGATAAACATGAGCACTGCACGTTTCAAAATTGAAACCCTGTGCGGGTGTTTTTATATCACTGTATTTCTGAAGGAAACCGACTGTCTTCAGAAAATTTGACTCCAACCATAGACTGTATAAAAACATGGACGTAGTGTCCGTGACTTCATCCGTAGGTTCCTGAAGAGCGGTTTTGAAGCTCATAGTGGGCGGAGCCGGCCGTCGCCATCTTGGCAGAGCGAAAATGGGCAAAGAGGCGGGAGCTGGTTGCTGAAACCATGCCCACCTAGCTCGACGGTGGTGACAGCCGCGGCAATCCACCTGTCACTCAAGTGGCCACACCCTTAATTATACAGAACTTTAAGGCTTAATATAATTTAAACGGATGAAAAAATTCACCCCACT